GCCTGAACCGGCCTTGGCCCGTGACCATACTGATGAATATTTTGCTTATCACCATAGATCCTTCATCTGGCGTTGGATGACGATACAGATGGAGGCCCGCGTTGGAGCACCGAACTGAGCCCCCCAAGATCCAAATGAGGAGCAGAAGGAGGAAGAAAATGTACACTTGTGTTTTAAGAATGTGAATCTTGCTGGGTAGTCCATGCCTTTAATCCCAGCACTAGGAAGGCAGAGGCAGGCAGATCTCTGAGTTTGTGGCCAGCTTAGTTTACAGAGTGAGTTCCAGGAAAGGTTCCAAAGCTATACAGAGAAACTGTCCACTTTCTGCTGCCTGCAAGATGTAGCACTCTCAGCTTCAGCAACATGTTTCCCTACATGCCACGATGTCCCATCATAATGATAAAGGACTGAACCTCTGAAACTGTAAGCAAGCAATGACAATTAAATGTTTTCCTTTATAAGAGTTACCATGGTCATGGTGTCTCTTCCAGCAACAGAAACCCTAACTAAAGCACCTGATCCTATTAAAATACTTTTTTTCCTTAAACAAAATTAGATACCTGGGCAGTGGTGGCTCATGTCTTTAACTCTAGCACTTGGGAGGCAGAGACAGGCAAATCTCTGAGTTCGAGGTCTATAAAGCAAGTTCCAGAACTGCCAGGGCTTCACAAAGAAACTCTGTCTCAGAAACAAAAAAACAAAAAAAAAAAGAAAGAAAGAAAGAAAGAAAGGGAATGAAAGAAAACATGATATACAGTCATTATTTTTCTCTCAAATGTATTAGTCGACTCTGGAATTTGCACCTATGTCCCTAAATTTTATTAAAAATGGGGACAGTTGTTGGAAGTGGTGGCATATGTCTATATTCCCAATATTTGGGAGTTGGAATAGGAAGATCAGGAGTTCAAGATCATCCTTGGCTAAATACCAAACTCAAGGCCAATTTGAACTATGTAAGACCTAATCTTAAAAAAGGAAAAAAAAATGTAAGCAAGTCTGTAATTTGAAGACAACAGCAGATTTATCTCAAAGGAATACTTTCCTTTCAGAAACTGATCTTAAGTGGACAGCACTTATGAAGACACCTAACGCCAAGCTCTAGCCTCCAAGGTATTTGCATACACGAGCAAGCACATCTGCTCACACAGTCATTTTTTAATTAGACACACTGGACATGCTCCTGCTAGTGAATGACCTGATACTTAAATGGAACACAACCTGCAAAAGGTATTTTTCTCTTTTACCTTATACCAAAATGGTATTTAGTCAAATGTATTTCTTCTAAATTAGATACATTTATCTAATTTTTGGTGCCAGTGGAATCAAACACAGGACCATTAGCTATAAATTTCATCCACCCGGCCAATTGCAACTGCCTTCTAAGTGGTTTGTCTCTAGGTTTTCTCAGCACTGACTACAATGTCAGTTTAACATCCTCTGTTATTCAATTTTGTGAATGTGTGTGTACAAATGTGAAGTAAAAGATCAACCCTGGATTTTTTCCCCAGATGCCAATACAAGTGATAAATCTTTACAGTGTACAAGAGTATTATTCCACAGTTTTGTTTTGAGGCAGGACCTATTCCTTCCCTTGAATTTAACCATTATGCTAGGCTAGGCTGACTGGTCATTGAGCCTCAAGGATTTCCATCTCTACCTCTCTGGTGCTGGGATTACAAGCAGTAGGGGCTTCATGTAAAATCTGAGGATCAAACTCAGTTTTTAATATTTGCATGGCAAACACTGATGGGATATTCAGCTGTCTTCACCTCAGGATGCCTGTTTTCTGGTATTTAAAATATATAATCTTTATTGTCCTCAATTTCAAATATATCATGACTGATCAAATATGAGTTCTATCATACAATTAAACTCAATTTCCTGTTTTTCTTTAGTCCAGTAAGACTATTTATTTCCCTATTTATACATAGTATTTTTTTCCTTTGGCTGATTGTTTTCCCTTTACATAGAAAGCTTTCCCTGTCTCTTCCAATTTAGTTCAATTCTATTTATCAAGTATTTATTGAAATCCTGCTAAACATTAGCCATTAGAAAAGGCCAACAAAAACTGTAATGCCCAAATGTCATCTATTGGGAGTAGCCTCGGGAATGACTCAGTTGCCAAGAACATTTGCTATGCAAGTTTGGGGACAGATGTAGGCTCAAATACCCGGCACCCATGTCAAAAGCTAGTGTGGTTGCATGTGCCCTGTAACTCTAACATTTCAGGGAGAAGACAAAGAGGATCCTAGGAGCTCAGTGGCCATCCATCCAGACTAGCCAAATCCAAGGGCTTTAGGTTGACCCAAGACAATTCAGTATAGAGAGATGAAGAAGACTTCCACACATGCATGGGCATACAACCTGAACACTCAAATATGTATCACACACACTAAATAAATATACATGCCATCATCTCAGAGCTGTAGGTACAGTTTAGAGACTACACGAACAAGATTCTGGACCCAATCCCTGAAGGGTTGATGATTTGAAGGCCTCAGATGGCCTGAGAAATATCAGACAGAAAAGTTGACTGATAACACTTGTGTAAGCTTCTGACAAGAAGATCAACATACCAATTCCCACTGGTATCTACCACTTCAAGACTGGAGGAGAAGTGACTTGCAGATGGGATCTTCCATCCCTTTTTCCTTTCTGAAAAACTCCAAACCCCGATACTACATGCACACAGTATTTAGGCCATTCTGCTTCTGGAGATGCCTGTCTGCTTTCTATTATTTCCATGTTCCCTCCATCAGTCGTGATCTAACAACAATCCCCAGTGCTCAATTTATTAGCTAATTAATTAACTAATATGTATGCTTAGTGGCATCAACTTACTGTGGAACATTTTATAATTTACATATCTTTACAATTCTAATTAAAACCTACTTCTTCAATGAATCATTCCAGTCCATGCCTTAATTTTTTTTTAAAGAAACCAGTGTCTTCTACAATATATAAGTATAATCTATGAAAACAAAAGATAACTGTGTAGAATATTATTTGAAGACGTGTTACATTCATTTATGCTATGGAACATTTGTTTAATGATGCAATGGTGTGTTGCATCCTTTTATGTTGCATTTGCTTAACTCTGTGGAGCTGTGTTATTTTACCCGCCTGAAACACCTGTTTGATCTAATAAAGAGTTGAATGGCCAATAGCAAGGCAGGGCTGGCAGGCAGAGATAATAAATAGGAGGAGAACTCTGGGAGGAAAAGAAGAAAGAGCAAGGGATGGAGGAGCAAGAAAAGAAGGGCCCCGCAACACAGCCAGCCACGGACTAAGAATGAAAGTAAGACAGACAGAAGTAAGATAAAAGGCAAAATGTAGACGGAATAATTTATGATAAGAAAAACTGGCTAGACACAAGCCAAGCTAAGGCTGTGCTTTTAAAGTAATAAGACTTCACATGTATTTATTTGGACGCTGCATAGTAGGACACCCCTGCCCACAAAAGTCAAAAGAGCCAAAGAGTGGAAAAAAAAACCAACAGATAACTATTTTATTGTAGTGTTTTTTGTTAGTTCTTGTGTTTTGTCTTTTTCAACCATGTTTTTGAGTTCAAAACTAAACTATTTATATGCTCTCAAGATAACATGTATACTTAGATATTTTAAAAATACCATTTTTGTCTTGCTTCATTTATTGACTTACAATAAATTGAACCATATCAGTACGCTACATTTTTTAAATATTTATTTATTTATTTATTATGTATACAATATTCTGTCTGTGTATATGCCTGAAGGCCAGAAGAGGACACCAGACCTCATTACAGATGGTTGTGAGCCACCACGTGGTTGCTGCGAATTGAACTCAGGACTTTGGAAGAGCAGGCAATGTTCTTAACCTCTGAGCCATCTCTCCAGCCCCTACGCTACATATTATTAAAATAAAAACAAACTATTAAATTGTGACTCAAGGCTAAGACGAGTTTTGAGTCTCTTTTAAAACATCCCAATCCCAATTCTTTTTTCTTTCTCATACAGTCATTATCTTTATCATATGAAATCTATGTCATGTCATAGAAAAGGTATCTGATACAAAAACAAAAACCCTGGATTTTTAAAGTATATATGAATTATACAAATGAATCTCACCATGACATTTTCATCTGTGGATATAGTGTATTTTGATCATAGTCATACACACACCAATTATCTTGTCTTGAAAAACTCTAACTTTTAAAAAGTACTTTTTCAAAAAAAAAAAAGATTTTCATCATGCCTATTTAGTTTCATATTTATTCAGAGAATGTCACATAACTGTAAAACTCTACATTTTAAACTAGAATTACTTTTCATATTTTAATCAGTTATTGAAGGTTTAGATTTTAAGAAAGTTTATAGTTTGGGTCTGGATAGAAGGCACAGAGGTTAAGAGCACTGGCTGATTTTCCAGAGGTCCTGGGTTCAATTCCCAGCACCCAGATGGTGGCTCACAACCATCTTGAACTCCAATCTCGGGGAAATTTGACACCCTTTTCTGATCTTTGCAGGTACCAGACATAGTGCACATAGTGACATATAGGTCAGCAAACATTCATACAAAATAAATAAGTAGATATTTTTAAATATATAATCTAAAATGTTCTTAAATTCACAGTTAAATTAGCCTCCTGAAGTCTTTAGAAAGGCTTAATTCAATAAACTGTGAATGTTTTGGATATTCTGAAGAAGCTAGACAGACCTTCACTCAAATTTTGTTTTGCATGTTGAGAATGATGATTCCATACACATACCCCAAAATACATTAAGAAACAATTTTCTGCTCATAAACAGATTTCTGGAGGGAATTCCAAGCTTGAAATGACTTGAAAATGACTTTGAGATCATCTGAGTTTTAAATGATGACTAAAGATGAGAGTTCCAATAAAGACTTTGAACTTCCTGTTGGCAGCAAGGAGAAACCAAGAGGATTTTCTCTCAAGTTTGATCAGATGTAGGGAACAAAAAGCAAAGGTTTAAAAATCTGTCAGCAATTACACATTAAAGTGTGGAGCCATAATCTTTATTACTTGATAACTCAACTTAAAAAGCACATAAAGATATTAAGTATATAATTTCACCAAAGTTTAAATATCTTAATTCAAGCTATATCTAATTGACAAATATGGAATATGAACATGAAAGCCCTGTCTCAATCCCCCCCTAAAACAAAAAACTACAAACATGAAACAAAATATAAACTATAAAAACTAAAAATGTTAATATGAAATGTTACTTGTTGAAGATGGAAAACAAAAAAAAATTTTATTAATCAAAAAAGCTTAAACCAAAGCTAAGCAACCAGAGATAGAGCAATACAATTTTCAGGTATTAGTCTTTCACATTTTAGTAACATAATTAGCAAAAGTAGAATTTTACCGTTGTTGCACTTAGAAGAAAATAACATAAACCTTTATTGTCATTGACATGAATTTTTAAAATTACTATCAGAATTCCATTTTGTATCCTGCAATAATGAAGCATAAATAAAACCCAGTGATTCCAAGACTTTTAATTGCTAAAGTATGAATTCTGCACAGTTATCATTAAAAGGTCTTCTGATCATTTGAAGATATCCTTATTACTATCAAAATAACTAAAATATTACCAAACTAAAACTCAAATTCCAGGGAGAAATGGACTTAATATTATACAAAACTAATGGAAAAATATTGATAGAAGGACTGTCTGAAAGGGTTTACAAAGTCAAAATTAAAATAAATAATGATTATCTTATGCCACAATAAAAATAAAACATTCAATACTTAAATAACTTCATGTTTTGATTCTATTCAAAAGAAAATGGAAAACTAAAGTCATCTTTTCCAGTTCCAAACGTATGAGTTGAAGAGTCTGAGGGAAAAGAAAACGTGAAGGTATCTTCTCCTTCTGATTTCCCAAATAAGTTTCCTGAAGAATAGAAATATTAAAATATCATTGTATTCATGTTATATAAAACTTAATCTACTAGACTACAGAGTACTGCACACAATAAAGAGATGAACATTAAATCACATATATTTATCATATATTTAAATGTATTCTTCATATACATAAGGCATCGTTTGTGGTACTATGGAAAGGTACATTCTAACTTAAGCCCTACTTACAAATAATCTGAACTCAAGTATGTAAAGAATTTGTATAAATAGCAGGAAGTAGGGTAAGCCATCTCAAACAAAGAGAATAGTACATAGGCCCAAAACCAGTCGTGCATAGGAAACAATAGGGTAACATAAATCCATTCAACTTAGCAGGATGCTGAAAATAATAATAAAGTTATATTAAACAAAAATTAATGAGGATGAGTTTGCAAAGACTACTGAATATCTCACTAATGTAGACTTAGATAACAGGAAACCATTAAAATATTTTTGAGCACAGATATAACATGACTTAAACTGCTTTATAAGGTTACTTTGAAAAACTTGTACAGAATCAGTAGAATGGAGCAATTATAAATAGTGATAACTAAAGGGGAAAATATATTATTTAGCTATTATTTTTGAGTAATTACAAAACCTTTGACAAATTTGTGAAGAGTTTTCCAGTTTTGAAAGAAAATTTATAAATCAACTTCATGTGTATATTTGCTTTATGTCAATTTTCATTCATTACTCATTCTTTAAAATAGAAAGCAAAATTATTTTTCAGTATCTTCAATATCAACTATTACTAAACAATTTAAAATCTACAGCAATACAGCGGCTTAATTGAAATAAGTGGCATAAAACAACCAATGTCAAATGAACTCAGGATGAACAGATTAGCAGATATTTGTGTTTCTCCACTTCACTTTTTATTTTATTCTTTACTAACTTCATTTCATAACCATAAGAATTAAACAGACAAGAATATACAAACTCAGAAAGAAACACAGCCTTGAATTTCTGTTTGCATAAATGAGTTATATTTTCTTTTTAATTTAAGAAGTTCCTATGAAGTCTTTGTAAAATTCCTAAGCATTCTATAAATAAGTTTATCACTGTGAAAGGCAGTATTTCAGGTGCTCTGAAAAATCCAAAGATAAATATAAAACAAGTCCTTGCCTTCAAAGTTCCAAAGGATACTTTATATGTATTGATAAATACTTAATGATATTATGTAGAATATAAACATTATTTTAAAAAGAAGAGGTTCAGAAAAGTAAACCTGAATTAGTTTAATCATGCTAATTATTTAATGCCTGCTAATCATCTTCCTGCATTTACCCTTTTTATATAGTGTTCTCTCTATATAGAAATCCACAGTAATCCTTAAAACAAACAACAAACAAAAACCCATCACATCATTTCAGTCATTTCCTCCAAACCCTCTGGTAGCTTCCTATCTCACTTAGATCATCCAAAAATTTCAATAATCGAAAGGTTGCATATGATTTGTTCTTTCTCACACTTTTATTTTTCTACACTATTCTTTCTCTCTAATTTAATCATACAATTTACTTGCTTTTCACTGAACATACCAAGCACATTACCATGTGAAGACCTTTTCACTCTTTACCTAGAATACTTTTTCCAGCATCTACTACCTCCACCTCCTTCACGTCTATGTTAAAATGATATTCATTCATGTGTTCCTGAATGCCCGTGTGGCACAGCAATCATTTTCTTAAACCAGGAATTACCTAGTCTTTATTTTGGTTTATGTAGCACAAATATAATTGTTCTTAATAATAAAAACCTGGAGTCAGATATAGGGGTAAAAACTGAGAGATCAGAAAAGTAAAGCAGACAGCCACTAGAGAGACCTTTTACATCTAGCAATTCCTCAGACCAAAAAGGGCATTCCCATCCACTGAATGCTGCCTCAAGCTGCAGAGAGCTCCTGCCTTATATTCCTCTCGCCATCTCACATTCTTCTCCAATACCCTGGTCCTGGGATTAAAGGTGTGGGCCAGTACTGTCTGCCTCTTAGAGGGGATCAATCTAGTATAGCCCAGGGTGACCTTGAATGCACAGAGATCCATCTGCCTGTCTCACCTCTGTCTCACAAGTCCTGGGAATTAAAGGTGTATGCCACCACTGCCTGGTCTCTAATGTCTAGCTCTGCACTCTGATCTCCAGGTAAGCTTTATTTGTTAAAACACAAACAAAATATCACTACAGGTTTATTTTCCTTCCTAGTAATATGATCAATAATAAGGGTTAACTCAAGTCAGAGGTGAGTCAGGCCCACATGGAAGGATGACTTAGGAGTTTTACTTCTCTTAATACCGTTTTCTTAGAAAATACAGGATCAGGGCAAATGTAGAATGTTGTGCTAGCCAACTGTACTGTGTAAAAACATACCTGAATTAGAGAAGTTATGAATTAGCATACAGGCCTTGAACCTCATGACTAGAATGGGATAAATGACTGACAGAAAAATAATAGTGTAACTTTTGTGGGTCAAGATCACCTGCATGCACCATGTGTCTTGTTTATGGCAGCATGACATGTTCCATGTGGATGAGGTAGCAAAAGAAATCTTATTACTTGGGTAGCTGATGGGCTTTCAATGAGACAAAACACACTATATGTGCTTGTTATCTCTTATTTTGCATCCTTCTACAAAGTAAATATATTAAAATTTTAATATGAATCTGACCACCACTTCAAGTCTACTGATGTAGGAGGGTCATCTGTCTATGTGTTACTTTCACTGGTTAATAAAGAAACTGCCTTGGCTTTTGATAGGACAGCAGCTTAGATAGGCGGAGTAGACAGAACAGGATGCTGGGAGAAAGAAGCAGAGTCAGGCAGATGCCATGGAGCCAGCTGCCAGGTCAGACATGCTGAATCTTTCCCAGTAAGCCAACACCTCGAGGTGCTACACAGATTATTAGAAATAGGTTGATCGAGATGTGAGAATTAGCCAATAAGAGGCTAGAACCAACGGGCCAGGCAGTGTTTAAATGAATACAGTTTTCGTGTAATTATTTTGGTGTAAACTAGCCAGGGAGCCAGGATCCCGGTGGGAATGCAGTCCACTGCTCCTTTTGCAACAGTCTACAAACTATTTAGTGCACTAGTATAGTATACATTGATTTATTTGTCTGTCTTCTGTCACTCTCAACAGAACATAAGCCCTATGAAGATTTTGATTCTTGCCTACTGTTCTTTGATCAAAGCCAAAAGCATTATCTGATAATTTGATACACACAGTTGTATCTAGTTTGTATGTGTGTTAAATACACACACATATCAAAGAATAAATGAAGAAAGTATTTCAATAAAAAAATATGTACCAGAGAGATAGGAGAAGATAAATTCCCCCCCCAAAAAGGGAATAGCTAATGGTAAATTATTAAAAGGTGTTAAATATGATAACAAAAGTGAGATACCCATGTTTGATACCCAGTTTGATATACTGACTTCTCAGTAATACAGAAGGTAACAAGTTTGGCAAGTTGTGGAAGATGCTGAAGTGCTCAAAGAATGAAGAAGGAAGAGGGACAAAGGGCAGGAGGACAGGAAAGAACAGAACACTTACTGACTGCTTTCTGTGTGATGAGATTGCAGCACTATCTCCTTAGTTAACATTGTCTAGAAGTAAGTAGTTTTAAATAAATTAAGGAGCTAAAAGATCAACTGAAGATAAACCAAGTACCATGAAAGAGAATTAAAATGTTTTTATATATAGAGAACTTCAAATTACTTACCAATTTCTTGTTGTGATGAAGAAGGATTTAGGTTTACTGCAGAGTAATGTTCATTAAACTGGAAAATAATTTACATTAACTATTACTTGTGAAATCAAAAGTATAATTTATATAGCATTTATATTTAACATTAGAGTCTGTACTTTTAGTATATAAAATCAGAACAGACATGACAGTAACTTTCTACATAGCACAGTACAAGACTTAAAAAAACAGAACAAAACAAAAAAACTCTTGTCTTTGAGCCCGGGATGTAGCTCAGTGGTAGAATCCTTGTTTAGCATACATGAGTTTTTTGGTTCAATCTCTAGCACTGAATGGATAAATTTGTCATTTACTTATATTAAAACAAGGACTGGTCTGGAGGGTGTGACTCAGTGGTAGAACGTTTGTCTATAGAATTCCTGAGGCCTAGGGTTGGATTCCCAGCACCGTAACAAATAAATAAATAAATAAAGCCTAATAACTTGATTATAGCAATATATAAAAAATTTACCCCTAGAGAATCATCTCAATATTTCTTTTGAATATTTTATAGTTAATATTTTTTTAATTTAATTCATCTGTTAAATTTTATTGGTGTAATGTGTAAATCCCTAATTTATTCTTAAAACAAGTGGTCCCACCTTTATCACATTCTAAATTCTATTGTTTCAAGACTTTCTAGCCTATACCACTGATTATTTGATCAATCCTTATATCTTTATCATACCATTTTTATTACATTTAAGTTTATAAGTTTTATGCATTTAGTTATTATGTATGTATATGTGCATGCATACATGTGCCATGCTGTATATGCGAAGGTCAGAGAGTAACTTGTGGGAATTGGTTCTCTCCTTCCACAATGTGGGTCCCAAGCCAAAAAAATCATCAGGCTTGAACCCACTGTTGACTCATTTCACCCAATGTTAATGTGTAGAATAAGTTCCTTTCACCAATCTATTTTACAATATTTATGACTTTTAATTATATCCTCTTAATTTCTAACAGAGGTAAATGACTTTTTTGACAATCTAACTAGGAGTTGGTCAGTTGCGTTAATCATTTTCAAAGAATTAACTTGGAATTTCTAATTTTCTGGTTTTATTTTTTCAGCTTGTTGACTTCTAGTGTTTTTTATTTCTTTATTCTCTTTTGATTTGCTTTTCTTTGTTGTTCTTTTTAATATCTTTTCAAAAGAAAACCAAAGATCATTAATTTTAGACAGTTTTTTCAATTAATTATTTGTCTTATAACTAAATGAAATAACTACCATCTTTGCTCTGGCTGTGTCATTACTCTACAATTTTGAAATGCTGAATTTTTATAGTAAGTAATTTCAAAATCTTTTCTGGTTTCTCTCATGAATATTTTCTTGCCCCACAGCCTAACTGTTTAGAATTCTTCTAAATATCTTATTAAGTTCCAATTTAATTACACTGTGGTCAGAGGATACACAATACTCTGATTTCAATACTTCTATACTTCTATATTTATTAAGATTCATTGAATGAACCAAAACATAGTCTATCTTGTAATTATACCATTAGTGACTGAAAACTTATCATTTAATGAACCAAAACATAGTCTATCTTGTAATTATACCATTAGTGACTGAAAACTTAAGAGTTGTTGGATGTGGTGTTCATTAAGGTCAATGAGACCAGAGAGACTGGTTATATCATTCAGATCTTACAGGAAGTGTTTATTATGTTACCTAATTTTAACACCTGTTGAGAAAGGGAAGTATAAAACCTTCATAGTTGAGTAATCTATTTACCTCGTATGCAAATTTGATTAATTAAATATCCAATTAACTCATTAATTTTATAACTTGGAACTGAACTCAAGACATTGCAAATGCTAGGCAAACACTCCACTAAGCTCAATACATATCTCTCTGTGTTATATGTTTTAAAGCTGTTGCTAGACAGAAACCATAATTGTGAATGTTCTATCTTCCTTATGAGTTAAACTTTTCAGTTTTATAAATTATCTCTCATTTTTAGCAATGTCTTTATAATAAAGGGTACCCCAAATGATAATCATATAGCTACTGTGGCTTTCTTAAACTTAGAATTTTCATGAAATTTAATTCACATCTATTAATTTTCAACCTATCACCAGCACTATATTGAAATATATGTCTCTCTCCTTTCTTCTTTCCTTCTTTTCTTTTTTTCAAGAGAGGGTTTCTCATTCCATAAAGGGAACTCATTCTACAGATCAGGCAGGCCTCAAATTCAGAGATCTCCCTGCCTCTGCTACTCAGTGCTGGAATTAAAGCCATGAGTCACCACCACTGCCTTTATGCTTTCTTATTCAATCCCTTCTTTATTGTCTTCTTTTGGTTTAAATACTTGTTTAGAATTCCATTCTATTACCAATTTTACTTTTGGGCATTTTCATAACGCATCATGATGCTTGTGCTAAGAAACATATTAATTGGGTGGTCTTCTTGTCCAACTCACCACAACAAAACAAAAATTAAAATACACGGTTCCCCAGGATTTTTTTTGTTTTTGATTTGTTTTTATTTTTAGAGACAGGGTTTCTCTGTGTACCCCTGGATGTTCTGAAATTCACTCTGTAGACCAGTCTGGCCTCAAACTCAAAGAGATTCAGCTGCCTGTATTGAAGGTGTGTGCCACCACTGCCCAGCTAATTTTCCAGATTTTCAATTATATTAAAACTATATATATTTTAATGCAATTTATATCTAAATTGCATTAATAAAACAGATTTTCATATTTTCTTCCTATGTAAATACCTCATGTATTTATGCTTTCAATTTTTCAGTGGTTTTATAGTTTTTTTTAAGCAAAATATAAATGCTTCCTGCTAAAGTTATATATATTTAAGTTCATGTTACTTAAATAACAAGTAAAAAACAATTTAACTTTTATGGTCTTTTTTTGTCTAGATATTCTTTTTAGAAATTACTTGCTTATTAAGTAAAGGTATAAGTAGCAGAAGCTAAACACATTAAAATAATATAAAATGTATAATACCATATCTTCCATCAATAAATTTATAAGCTTTTCAATTTAATATACTGTAACAAAATTTAGGCCACATAAAATGATAGGTATGATTATTTAAATGAACAATAAAAAGAATAACAAAAATACTTACATTTGTACTATATAGCATTAGTAAGTAGCACTTTTGAAAATACTTTTTATATATAAACTCATTTAATAGTCATAAACTCTATGGCAGTCACTGTCACTATTTCTATTTTACAGATTAGGAAATTAAATTATTTTCAACTTCATACACTCTACATGTTCAAATATTGAGATGATTCCGTGTCTTATTTTAACTACTATATTTTATTGTATACTCTTACTTTTAAAGCATGAATTAATATTGTGTTTTACTGCTAAATTCAGAAGTAAACAATTTATAGTGATTTGCATCACTGAAAAACAGCAACACTATTGCAAATTCTTTAGGTCTTTTAAATCTAATTAATGATAGAGTTACCATATACATAACATAATTAAAAACACTAATGTAACACAATAGCATTATGAATTAAGTAAGAATGTGTAGTTTATTTTTACCCCGAAAATGTGTAACAAATTCATTTTCATCTGTCTTTAGCTACAATTTAGAGCATCCCTATCTTAAGGTTTTTGTTTTTCTTTTTTTTATTTACTTTGATTTGGGTGCTGGAAATCAAGCTCAAGACTTCAGGAATAGTAGGCAAGTCCTCTACCATTATGTGAGCCATATTCCAGATGGAGATTTTCTCTCTCAAGATTTATTTGTATTTCTGTGTATATGTTTGTGTGCCATGTATGTACAGATGCCCTGGGAGGCTGGAAGAGGCTGTTGGCTCCCCAGAACTGGAGTTACAGGTGGTTGTAAACTGCTTAACACAGGTGCTAGAAGCTGAACTCAGCTCCCCTGAAGGGCATCTAGTGATCTTAACTGCTGAACCATCTCTCTGGCCTCAATATTTTCTTTTAATAAATAAATCTGAATCAGTATTGTCTGGAGTTAAGAATGAAAAAATACTCAGAACTTTTTCCATGTTGGAAGTGGAACCCAGGCCTCAAGCACTCTATCATTGTTTTTAAAGTTGCCTCTGTACATATTCTGTCCCAAGAAAGCTTGGTACTAAAGAACTAAAACTGCCTAAAGCTCTGATGTAGATTTTTAGAAATAAATCACTTTACCTGATCTGATGAGATTTCTGAATCAGAAACAAAGGAATCAAATAAATTTAGTCCAGGTGATCTAGAAGTATAACTCGTAAGAAATGAGAATCCAGAAGAATCCTTTTGTTTTTGTTCATCAGATACTACATTTCTTGTTCTGTTACAGAAAAGATTTAAAAAATCACCAAAATGTTATAAATGTTCACTATAGGTAATGGCATACAGGTAAGAATTTGTAAAGAAATAGCTGGAAGTAGGCTTTAAAGTAACAAACTTACGGAGAAATGATGGTTTGAGTAGGGAATATAAAAATCTATCTGGGGATAATAACGGTGAATTCTTACTGAGAAATGCTGTCAGCATTATTCTAGGTACTTATGTAAGTGTAATTTACTTCTTGCAACAATCCATCAGAAGAAGTATTCACTTTCATTTTACAGCAAATAATTTTGAGGTTTAAACTGTTAAGTGATTTGCTTAAAAGAATAGTGAGTACCAAAGTTAAAATTTAGATGCAGCAATTCACAATCAAAATCTAAGCTCTTATCTCTGACACTGTCTTCAAGATCTTGAAAATTAGTCACAAGACATGTTTTAATGAGAAGTAAGACATTACAGAGTGTTATATAAGAGAAGATAAACTATAAATGATCTTGAATAAGTAATTAAACAAGACAGTATATAATATAGAGCCAGAATGGTCTGAGTTTAAAATTTCAATTTTAAGCCAGACGGTGATGGCGCACGCCTTTGATTCCAGCACTCGGGAGGCAGGAGTAGGCAGATCTTTTGAGTTCGAGGCCAACTTGGTCTGCAAAGTGAGTTCCAGGACAGTCAGGGCTACACAGAAAAACCCTGTCTCACAAAACAAAACAAAACAAAAGCAAAGCAAAGCAAAACAAAACACTCAACTTTAATACAGATTGGTTGTATCACCTATGGTTCTGTTTCCTCATCTACAAAATAAAATAATAGTGTACCAGTGATTCACAAAGTAAAATAAAAGGAACAATATCATAAAATAACCAACAGTTGCTTATACACACAGCACTGTTTTTGTTTTCTTTTATTTGTTGGTTGGTTGGTTTTGCAAGATAGGGTCTGACTATGTAGCTCTGGCACAGGTGTGTACCACCACCATCTAGCTTATAAAGTGTTGGGTTTTTTTTTAAAGATGGAGTGTAGCTCTGGTCAGTGTGTACTTAGCAAGAGTGAGGGCTTAGGTTCATTTCCCAGCCACCCTAATCACAGATAAATATATATAGTTATATATAAGTCTGACAAAACTGTCACAGCAATCTCTATGATCATAAATGAATCATGTATCTTTACTGATCATAATGTTCTCACCCAGAGTTTTAGTGTACAATACAGATTCATTCACAATTTTAGGGATTTGATGCTAAGTTCTATTTTGAATACATTTACTTAATCCAAATGCATGGCATTCATACATAAAATTCTTAGTAGTAATTTAAAATACATGAGTAAAACACAGGTGAGAGATACCTGATAAAGCAAAATCTGATTTAGGTCTAAGAGGAACTTAGGGTTCTGTTTTAAGAAACAGAATGAACTAAACCCAAAGGTTAAATGCAGCTTTGCTTTCTTGGCTGAAAACCCTCAATCGGTGGTTTCCAATGTTGTATATTTATATTAGAGACACTTAATCTTAATCCCAGCACCTGGGAGGCAGAGACAGGTGGATCTCTGTGAGTTCGAGGCTAGCCTGGTCTACAAGAGCTAGTTCCAGGACAGGCTTCAAAGCTACAGTGAAACCCTGTCTCAAAAAAACAAAAAAAGGCAGAGGGGTTCTTGCTTCAGACACTATGTATATGGAAAACTGACGCTGAAACATTATTCAATAAGTGGTCCACAACTACTATACATATCAGTATATGTATTGAGCTTGATTTTTAAAAAAAAATTTTCACATTTTTATCTTTTGTAAAATCTGAAACCTATATATTGTCACACTGGATACTCAGAATCTTTATCACTTTGCCAACAAACCCCAAACAAATAAACTAAAAACAGGGAGGAGAGTCTATGAAACAAAACTGGCAGAACACTAAGAATTGTACAAATGTGGTAGTGGTCTCTTCCTTGTTTTTATGACTGAAATACTAAAATCTTTTCAAGTTCTAATTAATTAGATATTTTACTACCTCTACAAATTATTTATATAACTTAATGCATAAATAATTCAATTAGAATTATTAATAGAATTCCTACATTTCAAAGAAGGGACTTTTAGGGAACTGCATTTTCTCTACAGATTCAGGTGTCTTCATAGCTTCCAGAGTTTTTAGAAATAAAGGAGTTTCAGGAGTTTTTGGAAAATTCTCAGCCCTTTCTTCATCTTCAGCACTTTTATTTTCTATTGATTTTTCAAAGTGTTCTATGTACATGGCCTGAAGAGGGAAAGCAAGAGAACACTTTTCACAATGACTGTTAATACCTAATAAAAGAACACACATATAATGCATAAGACAGGATGCATTAGCCTGGTAACATTAGCCTGTTATCACTTCATAGATAAGGAAAATAAGCACTGGTGAAGTGACACATATTCTCAAAAAATAGAAAAACAGTTATTTTGTCAGTAAATTCTTCTTTTCTTCCCAGCCCCATCTCTCTTATCTCTACATGAAAAAGTAAATGATAACCAAAATGTACTAACATCAAAGGAAAATACTGAGGGATGGTTTTTCTTTTAAAATTTCCACATTATATTCTGCCAACTCCATGAAAAGGAGATTTTCTTTTAATCAATTTTGTTTATTGCTTTATGCTATAATCTGGATCTGTGTTGAAAGCTTAATCCCAAACCCAGCATTCCTGGGCCGCAGTAAAGAGTTTAGGAGGTGGATCTGAGAGTTCTTTAGATCATGGTGGGTGGCATGCTCAAAAAAGAACTGTGAGATGTCTTCTTTAAAAACATTCTTGGTCAAAGATGAGGGGTTTGACTCTATCATGCACTCTGCCATGATTTGTACATTACTACTGGCTCAAAGCAATGGGACCAACTCTCAGATCACAAACTCTCAGATTATGAACTGTAATAAAACTCTCTTATGAAGTTATCCCAAGTAACTGTGCTTTAAGGTAAATATTAACAGACAATTGCCTACTTTTCTATTTTTTGCCATTATAATTTTATACGACTTTATCTCTAAAGATTGAGAACCTGAACACTAACATTTTTAACCTTATTTTTGTGCACATACAGAGAGAGAGAGAGATTTATTATATATTACTATACCAAATCCTACTACAGAAAGAATTTGGGTTTGTGTAAAAAAAATAATGTGCTCATTATCTGTATTCCTTTACAATAGAATACTACTTTGTCATTTTTCATTTTAATCCTTGGTACCTTTGTCTGTCATTAATAAAGTTTTCCACATATTATAAAGTATATTTTACTATATTGTCAAAATACTTTCATGGCAATCACTGCTCTTGAATTGCTATAACAAATCATTCAATCACGTCAAACAAAATTATTCAGTCATGAATTGGTTTCCATATCAATATGTATCATCACTTATGAGTGAAAACCTTTTGGTATTTGTTCATATAAATTTTTATGAATTCTTTATTCAAACTGAAAAATAAAATTTCTAACTTTCTAGAACCTGACTTCCAAGCTAATAACATCTTACATAATTTCATTTGTAAAAAATCTAAAAAATAAATGGGCACAGAATAATTTTTTAAATTACGATGCTATGCTTAAAAATTAAAAACCTAACATTTGACTTACCTGTGGAGTATATTGTGATTCTCTTAGTTGTCTTACTGTCTCTTTATTTCCACACCCAGCATCTATTTGTTATACAAGAATAAACTACTTTATTTATGCAATTTCATTATGAAATTAAACAATTTACTTTTCTGCTTTAAAATGTCATGGCAAATTATACATATATCTTATGTCTCTCTTTTTGCTTTGCACATGCTTATGCAATTCCTCCATATCACTGCATGGAGACATAGTTTTCTCATTACTTGTATAAATATTCCATATATCGATGCATTCTACAACAAATGGCATTCTTTACATATAATCCATATTTCTATTTCTCCAAGTATATATCTAAGATGTAATTATGACACACAGAGTATGTATGTGTATCTCCCAATATCAGGTATCAAACTTTTCTAAAGTGACTACCAATTTTGGCTGAGAAAACTAGTTGCTGTAAAAATCACAAAATCTCAGAAAATTAGCTCTAACTTAGGTGGTTTCAATATACAGTGATCTTTTAATTATTATTCATATCACCAGCTTATGAGAGCACCTATTGATCAACACTGTCATGAATAATAATATTGGTAGACTTTTTAGATTTGTGAATCTGGCAAATGTGTAATAGTATCTCACTGTAGCTTTACACTTCCATGATTTGCTAAGCATCATTTCATGTTCATCTGCCAGAAGTTTCTTTCGAAGTGTCAATTCACATATTTATTTTTTTAATTATTTATTTTCATTTTCTGTGCATTGGTATTTTGCCTGCATGTTTGTCTGTGAGGGTGTCAGATCCTGGAGTTACAGACAGTTGTTAGCTGCCATTTGGTTGCTGGGAATTGAACCCAGGTCCTTTGGAAGAGCAGTCAGTACTCTTAACCAATGAGCTATCTCTCCAGTCACAAATAACATATTTCTATTTTCCAAGTTTTAATTTTCTTTTCTTTTCCTGTATGTCTATTTATATATTCACGTGTGTGTGTGTGTGTGTGTGTGTGTGTATACACTTGGAAGTCAGAAGACAGTGTTGATTCTCAATCACTGCCTTTAATCTTGTTTGAGACAGGGTTTCTTGTTTGTGGCTACATATGCTAGGCAAGCTGGCCTATAAATTCCAGGAACTGTCCTCTCACCACCTTCCATCTCACTATAGCAGCACTGATATTAAAGACACATCCTACTGTGTCCAGCTTTCTTCTGACTTCTAGTGATCCTAACCGAGGTCTTCACACTTGCATACCAAGTAGTTTACCTACTAAGCCACGCCCAAGCCTCTATTCTGACATATTCTGCTTTTATCTGCTTGTTTTGTAAAAGTCCTTTACACTCTGTGGAACTATTCCAGACAGATTTATGTATTATTAACATATCCTTTGGCTTTATGACTCATTTTCTTCCTTTTTTACTGTATCTCTTTTTTAGATATTTTATTTTACATGTGTCTTGCCTGTATGTTTATGTCTCCTGAATATGTACAGTGCACACAAAGGCCAGGAGAGGGCGTTGGATCCTCTAGAACTGGAGTTACAGGTAGTTATTAGTGGCAATGTAGATGTTGGGAAACAAACCCAGATCTCCTCTGCAAGAGCAACAAGTACTCTTAACCTCTGAACTATCTCCACAGTCTCCTTTTTTATTATATATTTGGATAAACAGAATTTTTTATTTAATATAACCAATGATTAGTTTTTATTAATTAGGCGTTTAGTTATTATTTGAGAAATCTTTTCTCTTGAGAACTGGAAAGATGGCTTAGCAGTTAAGAGTGAGTATTACTCTTACAGGAGACCTGAATTTGGTTCCCAGCATCCATAAAGGTCAGCTCACAACTGCCTATAACTCTAGTTTCAATAGATCCAACACCTTCTGGCCCCTGTGGGCACCTTCATTCATGTGCACATACCCACACACTCTGATATAAAAATACATAACTAAAAATAAATCAAAAGTAAATAAAATAAATCTTTAAAAATTGGAAATGCCTCTCTTGAAGTCATAATTGAAATCTATTTTCTGAAAGCTTTGTACCTTTTGCCTCTTGTACTTAAATCACAACTATTACTTTTGCTACATATTAATTTCCTCAAATTATGGTTTAGGATTGTTGAAAGTCTATTTTTTAAAAAATAATTATAGGTCTTAAGTATGAAGCTTCATTACACATGCTTAACACAGGTAGTACTATGCCAATTATATATATTTTCCAACATCTCTATGTCAAGGGTACATTGTTCTTAAGAGATTAATTATATTTTCCTATCTAGTGCAATAAACTTAGCTTATGCAGAGGATTATAAACAGCTGGAGCAGATCACAAGCACAGGAAAGGCATAATGCTTTTTTTTATCTTAGAGGAATGTAAATAAAGTATTCAGCCATATAGGATACACATGTTGTTTCAGTTGAACGATGTGAGAAAAACAGGCTGATAGAAAATGACAATTCTGAAAAAGTATGTATCTAAAACTATTTTTTAGAGATTTATTTTTCTTTATGGGTATGTATCTATGTGAATGTATGTCATTTGTGTGCCAGCCTAAGAAAGCCAAAAGAGGTCAACAGATCTCCTGGAGCTAGAATTATAGGTGGTTGTAGGTCGTCATTGTGGGTACCAGGAACTGAACTTGAGTCCTCTGGAAGTGCTGATGTACTCTTAACCACTGAGCCATCTCTCCACCCCCAGTTTACAAAATTGTATATAGTATCAGAATGACTCATTGAAAACTTCAAAAAGAAAAAAAATGACTTCAATATAAGCATGATACAGGGGATAATGTTACTCATTAATAGGATATATATATATATGTAAATATATATGTACGTGTAATGATATTTTGTTTGTTTTAACAAATAATGTTAAGCCACTAGAGGTCAGGGAGTGGTGGCACAAACCTTTAATCCCAGGACTCAAGAGACAGAGGCAAAAAGGATCTTTGTTAGTTCAAAGACACCCTGAGCTACTGGAGATTGAATCTGTCTAAAAGAGAAACAGAATACATACAAAGGTGATCCCAGCACTGGGGAATCCCACAACTTTAATCCTAGCAGTAAGGAGGTGGAGACAAGAGTGATATGGCTGGGTGGAGAGAAGAATATAAAGCAGGAGGAGACAGGAGCTCAATGTAGTCTGAGGACTTTTGGTTTGAGCACTGGTAGAGGTAAAAGGTCTCTCTAGTGGCTGGCCACACTGCTTCTCTGATCCTTCAGCTTCACCCCCTAATATCTGACTCTAGGTGTTATTTATTAAGACCCATTAGAATTTGTGCTACACTGGCACCCAACTTTGGGGGTATAAATTCACACACACACACACAAAAATACTTGCTGTGGCTTTGCAGCCACTGGCATAGGCAGGAGCGATCATGTTCGGTGTAATCACCACACCAGCTAGGTAGGTTTTCCTTTTTTCACTCCTCATGGGCTTTCCCTGGATCCCCTTCCTGGGCTGCTGCCAAACTAGGTAGCTTCCTTGAAATCTGTCAGACTTTTATTGTTCTATGCAACAGCAGTCAGCCTCATATTGTCATCATTGGCAGATCTGGTGAGAAAACTGGGAATTCTAAAAGGGAGGAATTAGTTAAATGAGGGAGTTTTTTCCCATGTTAGAAAATGGGAAACACAATTATGATAGAGAAAGTTAAGTTTCTGTATGACTATGTAATGCATGTTTCAAAAATGGAACAATTAAATAAAGAGATAATCAACTGGGATTGACATACTATTAATTATCATTTTTATAATCTCTGTTGTCATTTATCTCTTAAGAAGTTGTTTGGTATGAGTGCCAAGATACAGGCCTTAGAAAAACATAACAAAACAGATTACAGAGATATTCAAATCCAGACAGAGGAATTTAAAGAGAATCAATTTTAGCATTGCATTATAAAGTTAGAGAGGAACAGCCTAAAGTTTTCAAACAACAAACCTTAATATATCCAGTAACTTTACAGAACTTGACAAATGACAGAGGCTCTGGAAGGGCTGATTGGACTCCTGTGGCAATGTTAGATTTAAGGAGATTCAAGGAAGCAACAGTCTCATGTTGCATGCATTCACCATTTGTGAAGCAGATGTTTAGTTTGTGGTGAACTTGTAATAGAATCATCCCTAAAGACTGGAGATACTTGGTTACAGCAGTCTTGGAGCCTGGTCCACAATGACAATGAAGGACCTGGTGGAAACAGGAGGCTAAGATCACTGAACAATGGAATAGAGCTAGAGGTATGAAAATCTCCCAAGATCAACTTCTTGGAGAAGAAGATTATGCTAATGTAGAAAGACAATCACAGTATGATGGTCACATCCTGGCTTTATGCCATGCAGCAGCTTTGAATGCTTGCAACAGAATTGAAGGACTAGGAAAGAACATTGAGTCACTTATGAAAGTCACATAGCGTCCAAAAGAAACCTTCACTGATTTCTTACCAAGATTGACATTAGCAGTAAACAGTGACACCAAATTTAGAAGCTAAACAAATAATAATTGAATCTCTAGCCTTTGAAAATGTTAATTATCAATGCAAAAGGATAATTAGGCCTTTAAAGACAAGATCAGCACACTTGGAGGAATGAATCCAATATACAATCAATATTGAATCTCATGACAATGATGATGCTTGGACGGGAGAGGTGATTTCCAGAGGTTTGAGAAAAAAAATCAAAATGTCAAGTGTTTCAATTGTGGCAAACAAGGTCACCTTAAAAGAGACTGTAAACAGGGTATTCCTAGAAACAATGTTTTCTCTAAGCATAATCCAAACAGAACACCCCTCTGTTCTGTATTATGCAGAGAGTGTGACAATGGTAGACATCGGAAAAATAAATGTAGATCAACAAGGGACATTTAAGGTAATCCTTTGTCGTTGGGAAAGTCCATGAGAGACCTCTGGCAGGCCCCTATGCCAAATTCAGTTCAGTTGTTTCCTATCATTGTGAAGTAAACTGCTTCCCAGAGCAATTAAAGAACCTAATGCCTATAGTAAGAAAATAAACTGTTCTGGATGATAGAACAGCTATAGAAGAGAGAACAAAAAATTTAGGAGACCATAAAATGTGTATTTTGGCAAATTTCTAT